CCCAGCAGTCACCTAGAGTATAATGAGGAAGGGCCACAGAGATTCCCTACCCTGCTGGTTTGTTGCACAACCAGAGAGAGCCATGCTCCCTTCCCAGTCAAGTCACAGAGGTCCCAGAAATGCCCGCACTCAATCCCTTCAATAACGTGTCTCCAAACAGGCACAGTCCCAGCGGGCGAAGGGGCTGACTTAGTCTCTGCTCAGTCAACTAGCATGCTGATAACTCAAGGCAAGCTGCTTGCAGCAGCCAATGTATACAAGGTAAGCGCCTCCCCTGTGGGTGGGAACACGGACTGGGGCAGCTGCTATGGAAACCAGTATGGAGGGTCCTCAAAAAATTAAAAATGGACCTGCCTTATGACCCAGCGATTCCACTTCTGGGTATATATCTAAAAAAACCCAAAACATTAATTTGCAATAATATATGCACCTCTATGTTCATTGCAGCGTTATTTATAATAGCCTAAGATATGGAAGCAGCCCAAGTGCCCATCAATAGATGAGAGACTAGGAAAGTTGTGGTACATATACACATATAATGGGATCTACTCAGCCATAGAAAGGAATGAAATCCTACCATTTGCGACAGCATGGATGGACCTAGAGAATATTATGCTAAGTGATAGAAGTCAGTCAGAGAAAGACAAATACCATATGATGTCACTTACACATGGAATCTAAAGAACAAAATAAACAAATAAAATTAAAACAGACTCATAGACACAGAGAACAGACTGACGGTTGCCAGAGGGGAGGAGGGCGGCTGGGGAACGGGGTGAAAAAGGTGAAGGGACTGAGAGGCACACATTGGTCGTTACGGAACAGTCATGGGGATGTTAAGTGCAGCACAGGGAACACAGTCAGGGATATTGTAGTAACTATATACGGTGCCAGGTAGATGCTGGAAATACTGGGGGGACAATCTGTAAAGTATATGACTGTTTAATCACTATGCTGCACACCTGACACTAATACAAAATAATATTGAATGAAAAATTTAATTGAAAAATAACTTTTTAAAAAAACTTCATTTCCTACCCTCAAAAAAATTAAATTAAATTTTAAAAATAAGTGCCTTCCTTCAAATGAAAGTAGCACCAGGAAAGTTCACATCGAGTATTGGTTACCTCTATGTTAGAACAAAGATGAAAAGCATACGAAGAGTTTGGGTCACTTGGAGCAAGTGTATACAACCACGGACAAAATGAAGGACTTACCTCATCTACAGACACCGGTAGGATGACTCGACTACAAAAGAAGGAGAAACAGTAACAATTCAGGCTCTGAAACCCCAAGGTTCTTACAGCATCATCTTAGAAGAGCATTAAATACTTCGTTGTGTGTGATGCCACACTCACTATCAGAAACCCAGCAGTGAACGGCCCCCAGCGCTTTGAGGCTAGGACCCTCTGTGCCCTCTGGTACCCCAGTTAGAGCCCTGTGATTCAATGCAAACCTGTCCCCCAGCCAGCCACTTTGCAGGCAGGCCTCTGACATTTGGAACTGTCTTCTCTCCCTCCTCCACTAATCTCACCAATAAAACCTGCCAATGAGCAGAGCAAAACAGAGAAGTTAACACAGGAGGACCCACCCCTGAAAACTCTGAAGCCAAGGTAAGGATACAGGCCCCGGGGATTCACATCTCTGTAAACCCAACCTCCCAACAATACAGCCCTCAAGGTGAAAGATTAGGAAGGGGCCAAGCTCCTCCAAGGCTGAATCACTCTACGCATGGGCCAACCATCTCTGCTCTGAGACAAGACATTACAGTACAAGTTATGCCACAAAGCCACCGAGAGAGGAGACACCCAACTTGTGTCCGGACCTCCAGAAGCTGTCCAAAGGCACCCCAACTCATCACTGTCTTCTCCTTCTCCATTTCAATGACCACCAATTCTTGGAGGTACCATCAAAAACCTGACAGAGATGCCATGGCCAACAAAGTCCCCACACTGGTCAGATCTCCACCTTGGTGCAAGGGCTAGTGACACTTCTCCAGGTGGCTTGCATTTGTCACACAGAGCAACAGCCAACCCCCAGTTCAAAGCTGTGAGGTCAGAGGACTGATACCAAAATGCTTGGCTGCATTCATACAAACTAAGCCAGCTTCCAAGCCAAGATGTCAGCCCCCAGACCCTAGCTGGAACCCCTGGAGCCTCCTGTGTCTCGAGTGCTTGGTGAGAGTTGCTCTGTTCTGTCCTGGGCAGTGGTCCCACCAATCCTTGCTCCAGGCTGGTAAGTAGTCCACTCACTATTTTCTAGTTCCAAAAAGGTCCCTTGGGTAGCAAGGAGCACCCAGAGGGGTCGGTCTAAGAAAAACATCACACTACATGCAAAGCACCAGGCAGAAAAGTAGCAGGAAAAACAAAACGGACTCAAAGTCTTTACTGCCTGCTAACTCCCCCTCCTCCAGAATGACTCAAATAACGTAAATCCTGCAGGTCATTGGATGCTGCTACTAATGCTCTCCTCCCATTAGAAAGGCCGACAATGCAGAAAAATACTTCCAACTTGAAGGCCACAATTTCAGCACCGTCAATAGAAACTTCCTAGAAAACAATCAGCCTATTATCTTCAAGAACAGCATTAAAAATCACACCTAAGAATTTGCAGAAATCAAATCAAGGAGAATCCTGTTAGAGGAAGTGTCAAAAAAACCAACAGAGACACCCTTCAGACCCCAGATGGGCACCAAGTCTCCTTTCCAGCAAAAGAGAAGGGCATCAGCCAGTTCCTGATAGGATGCTCACACCCAGACATTTCTCCCTAGCTCCCTGAAAGCAAAACCACTCCAGCAGCAATAGGGTGCAATTCCTAAGGATAGGGCCACAGAGGCAGTGCTGGGCTGAGACTGGAGCTGTGCTCACTTCACTGTGACCTTCACTCACACCCTTCCCAGAGCTGGAGCTGCAGTGCTGCAGCCATAGCCAACTGTCTCAGATGCCCCCCTCCGTGTCCCCTGCCGAGGGATGCACGCTCGTGTCTGAGCACACACAGGGCACAAGTCAGGCAGGAAGCAAACACACATGCCAGGCAGGCTCTGCATCCCCAGCACCTTGGACCTTTCCCGAGCAGGCTTCAAGGGGAGGAGAACAAAGAGTGGGAAGGAAGGACCACTCCTGAAAACTTGCTCAGATCTCTTCTGAGTGAAGGTCCCTTTCCTTCCCCGTCTGACCTTCTTTACAAAATTACAGGTTTCTACAGATTCTCGGGTTCATCTGAGAACAGAAAAAAGGCTCTGGAGAATGGGAAAAGCCTCTTTTTTGGACAGGAAAGATTAGAATCCAAAGTGCATTATACTCTGGCTGAATCAACATCAACTGGAAGTCAAGAAATAAAGGCAGAGGGCTTCAAAACAATACTCTTTTGATGAGGGGTCCAGCTGGCATAACACCTGAGTTTCTGCTCCCTGTGTTCTCCAGAGCTCTACATCCTAAATGTTGTAAACACCTCGGAGGAGCAAGTCAGATGGGGCAAAGTGCCTTCACTGACAAACGAAAACAGTCCTCCGCACACCTGCTTGGCTACCAAGTGATCCCCACCAGTTGCTCTCTACTTGGACATCTCTCACTTCCAGAATTCCTGGGCCTCTGGCCCAGTGCTGTCCATGTGCCCTCCCCTCCAGGAAAGCACAATTTTGGCCCACACACACCTCCAATCTCTCCTCTTTGCAATAGGGGGAGAAAAAAAAGTCCTGAGAAGCTTCCTTGGAACCATGAGTTTCAGGGATGGGTCATCTCACAATTGGAAAATACAGCAATCCCAGCATCCTCCCCCGCCCCCCATCATACAATCCCCTGCACTTCAAGAGCAAGCTCATCTCCCTGCATCTCCTCCTGGAAGTCACTAGTTCTCTACCCCTTAGTCACTACTCAAGAACTCCCTCCAGCTTCCTTGTCTTTTCCCAACTAATGGCTTTATGGCCACCTCTTCAATTCCTCAATTCCATCTCTTTGCACCAAGGCTGAGAATTCCTACGAGATAAGTTGCCCCTGTTCCCCACCGCCGCTCCAGTGATTCTTACATTTATTCACAAATATACTCTCTCCACACTATTCTCTACCCTGGTAACACCCTAGCTCTCTCTATCACTCCCTCATATCACTCCAGCCCCTGCCTGATATTTTCAGGACTGCTTTCCCAAGTGTCCCTCAGTCCCAAGTAATCACCTTAAGCTTTCCCCCCAATACCTCCTCTTCTGTACCTACCACTTGAGCACCACGTCATGCGCCCAAGGGGTGGGTCCTTAGACCCTTCCCCTGTCACCCAAGCCCGGCCCTGACTCCGTAGTCCTTCTCCTTTATCCACTTATTAGAATCTTTCTCCCGACGCCTAAGGCAGCCATTCATTCTCCAGGCTCCCCTCAGCACTCCTTCATCTCAGCTCCACGCCTGAAGGTGTCTTATCTGATCTTCTGAGCCCCTTAGCACTGTGCATCCCTCACCGCGCTCCTCTCCGCCGGCGGGCTCACAGACCCTGCCTGCCCTTGTCCAACTGGTCCTCAGCCCCTCAGACAACTCTCCCCCTCCTGCAGGTCCTCAGCGCTCGCACCCACTCCTGCAGTTCTGGCTGGTCCCTCCGTCCCCCACCGTAGAACCACTCCACGTCTCCCCCAATGCTCCCGATCCCCTCAGGCCCTCATGCCCTGTCCAGCTCTCACTGTCCCCTTGACCCTTTCTCAGGCCCTGTCGGGCCCTCATTGTCCTCTGGGCCTCTCCCCAGGCCAAGCTGGCCCTCACTGCCCCTTGGGCCCCACCTCAGGTGCTGTCCGTCCCTCTCGATCCCCGTCGGCCCCACCTCAGGCCCTGTCCGGCCCCCGCTGCCCCCTCGGCCCCTGATGGGCCGCCCAGGAGCCCATCCAGCGCTCTCCATCCCGCCGGGCCCCGTCCGGCCGCTGCATCCCCTCCGCCAGGCCGTCAGCCTCCCTGGTCGTCATCCCCGACCCTGCCTTCCTCCTCGCTTCCGCACGGGCGGACACTCACTACTCCTTGAGCAGCACCATGTCGCTTCGCGGCTCGGCGGCTGCCCGCTGCCCGCCCGGCTTCCCGCCCGCTTCCCGGCGGCCGCTCTCCCCGTGGCCCGGCCCGGCCCGGCTGCCTGTGCGTCTTCGTCGTGGTCTGCTCCGTCCCCGCCGCTTTCGTTGCCGCCGCTGCGCCGGCTCCTGCGCCCTAGCCTCACAGCCTCCCGCGCCCCTGCCGACGCCGCCCGGAGCTCCGGTTCCGCAGCACCGCGCGGGGGCGGGGCGTCTCTGCGGCAACCAGAGCGTCACACGCAGCGGTGCGCGCTGACCTCAGCGCGAAGGCGGAGTCTCCTCCGCCCGCCCCCTCCCGTCCTTAAACGGGCCGCGGCGTCGGCGTCGGAAGTGGGCTGGGGCCTGGGGCGTACCTCGGATCCGCGGGTAGGCGGAGCAGACGCGTGGGGGGGGGGGGCTGGCGGCGGGAGACGGGGTTGGGCGGGGTCCTAGGTGTAACAGTTCTGCAGTCGAAGCAGGTGCACCCGTATGCTTGGGCCACCCCAGTGGGGTTGGTAGAGATCTAGGAAAGGGTTGTTAAAAAATTATATTAACAACAGCCAACTTTACGTGCAAGTGCTCGACTCCTTAGGACGACACCACCAGAAAACACTGTGCTGATTTTTGCAATAAACTCAATATATTTTAAAGTATGTACATGTCTCTTTAAAATAATTTACATCTTTTTTCCACAGGCAAAATGAAAGGTGATATGCTAAAACCACTGAGAACGGTTTTATATTTGATATGAGCATAGTGGATTAATTGCCACCCCTTACCCACCAGAAAGAAAGAAATGATAATAAAAGCTAACATTTATTGAGCACGTACTATGCACCAGGCATTACTCTAACTGCTACCCATGTATTAATTTTTTAAACTGATTTTAGAGAGAAAAAAACATTGATTTGCTCAGGGATCGAGCCCACAACCTTGGAATATTAGGAGATGCTCTAAACATTGAGCTGCAAGGCCAGAATCTGTTTTTTACATCTAGCAAGCTTTGCTTCAGGTGTGCCTAGGCATTAGCTCTTATATGCAGGGGTCACAGCACTCTTCAACTGGCCCCCACTGTGAGCCAACAGCCCCACTGTGGGAAGAGAACCCCTGGTGCCTGATGCCCTGAAGTCCCAGGCCTACCACTGTGTGACCTTGTGCAAGTTACTGAACCTCTCTGTTCTGCCTCAGCTTCTTCATTGGCAAAATGGAACAATGATTGATAGTGCCTGCTTTCAGGCAACGTAGGTAAAGCAATTTTGTGCAGTGTGTGGCACATCCCATGCTGCTATTGTTGGGGGGAGGGGTGTTGTGAGGAGGAAAAAGGGACACTGCTGCCCCTCAAAGCTACTTTAAAAAAATATTTTTATTTATTTATTTTTAGAGAGAGAGAAAGGAAAGAAGAAAGAGGGATAGAAACATCAATGTGTGTTTGCCTCTCATGTGGCCCCCACTGGGGACCCAACCTGCAACCCAGGCATGTGCCCTGACTGGGAATTGAACTGGCAACCCTTTGGTTCACAGCCCATGCTCAATCCACTGAGCCACACCAGCTAGGGCTCAAAGCTACTTCTATATGCTCCAGGCTTAAAGGAGGAAAAGAAGTTAATTTCCACCTTTTGTGGGTGGGGGCAAACGCGGAGAGAACGCTACGAAGGCCTGGGCTGGGAGAATACAAGGTGGTGGGGCACTGCCTGCCCACCCCCAAGTGCCGCACACCGACCCTCTACCGATTGTGCATCTTTACACCTAACCACCTTGTTGCCAAGTCCCACTTCTGGTACTTTGTGTCTCAATTGAAGAAGATGAAGAAATCTTCAGGAGAAAATGTCTACTGTGGGCAGGAGTTCGAAAAATCTGCCCTTCAGGTGAAGAACTTTGGCATCTGGTTGTGCTATGACTCCAGCAGTGGGACCCACAACAGGTACTGGGAGGTGACCACCGCAGGTGCCGTCACCCAGTGCTACCAAGACTTGGGGGCCCGGCAGGGTGCCTGCGCCCACTCAATCCAGATATGAAGGTGGAGGAGATCGCAGCCAGCAAGTGCCGCCAACCGGCAGTCAAGAAGTTCCATGACTCCAAGATCAAGTTCCCACTGGCCCACCAGGTCCTTCGTTGCCAGTACAAGTCACGCTTCAGCACCAATAGGCTCAATGCCTTCTTTTGAGTGCAGGGCCTCCCTGTCCCCTGCCCACCCAATTAAACTCCTTGGTGAAATCCGGGGGAAAAAAAAACAAAACAAACAAGCTTAATCTCCACTGTCACAGTGATCTTTCCGTCTCTGAGGTCCCCCTTTGTTTCCTTCCCTCTCTGCATCTCCGTTTGTACTTCATCTTCTCTCCATCTATCCCTCTCGCTCCAGCTCTCCTCACCGATCACCCTCCGTCTCCCCTCTCTTTATCTTGCCTCTCTGTCTCCCTTTATCTTTCGTTCTGTTTTTCTGTATCTGTGTTTAACCTCCCTCTTATCTCTCCTCTCTGTCCCTTTTCATTTCTTCGTCTCTCTTTACCCTCTTCCTGTCTCTCCCCACCCCTGTCGTCAGGCTTTGTCGCTCTATTCTGGGTGATACATCTTCAGCCTGTATTTCTTTCACCTTTTTTATTTGTTTATTGATTTTGAGAGAGATTGATTGATTTGTTATTCCACTTATTTATGCACTCACCAGTTGATTTTGACTTTTTTAATCTCACCTGAAGATTTTTTTTTTTTTTTGGTCCTCACCTGAGGACATTTTCCATTGCTTTTAGAGAGAGAGGAAAGGAGAGAAGAAACATTGATGATGTCAGAGAGAAACATCAATTGGTTCCTCCCCGTACGCATCTGGACCAGCGATCAAACATGTGACCTGACCAGGAATCAAACCCACAACCTTTCAGTTACAGGAAGATGCTCCAACCAACTAAGCCACACGGACCAGGGCCATTGGCTGATTCTTGTGTGTGTCCTGGCTGGGGGCGTCCAATCAGCAACCTTGGAGTTTTGAGATTAGACTCTCACCAACTGAGCTACCTGGCCAGGGCTCTTTTACCTTCTTTTCACTGCTGTCTCCTTTCCCCATCTGTTCTTTGTTGTCTTGGTGTGTCTCCCCCACCCCCTCTCTGTCTCTGTCTCTGTCTCTATCTCTCTCACTTTCGCCTTGGTATCTGTGCCATCTCAAGGTTCCGGCCCCTGGACCATTTCTCCTGGCTGGCCCCGGTTTCTGCCTTGGTCACAGACACACCTGTAACCCATCTCTGGGTATCTCGGGGAGACTGTGTTTCACTGTTTCCATCTTCTGCTCTGTCCTTCCTGGCTGCTGCAAACATGCTCTTCTCCCAGCCTCTGTCTCAGCCTCTTTTCATTTTATTTCTGTCTCTCTTTTGAAAAATTTCATCCTCTGTCCTGGCTGGTGTGGCTCAGTGGGTTGAGTGCTGGCCTGAGAACCAAAAGGTTGCTGGTTCAATCCCCAGTCAGGGCACACCTGGGTTGTGGGCCAGGTTCCCATTTAGGGGCCTGCGAGAGGCAACTGATCAATGTTTCTCTCTCACATAGATGTGTGTGTGTGTGTGTGTGTGTGTGTGTGTGTCTCTCTCTCCCTCCTCCTCTCTTTAAAAATTAATTTAAAAAATTTTTTCATCCTCCATTTATTGAGCAACAATTCCATGCCAGGCACCATTTGAGGCCCTGGAGGTATCACGGTGATGGAGGCACAGCATGTGCCAGCTCTCAAGGAGCATTTGTTCCAGTGGAGAGAGACACCAGGCAAACAAACACGTGATCCTGGCTGCCCAGCTTGTCCCACGGGGCAGAGGAGTATGCTGGCCAGGCCAAGCCACAGGCAGGGACTCAAACCCATGAGGGTGAGCTGGCTCTGTGTTCAGCTTTGCCTGACAATCCTGTGTCCCTAAACAGGGACTGTGGGCCACTCTAGAAGCCAGATTCAATAACATTCATTATGTGCCAGGCTGAGGGAGGCACACGTTAAAAGAAAAAGGTTCCAGCCCACGTAGGGCCACATTCTCAAGCGAGACAAATATAACACCTGCTGGAATCAAAGAAATAGACAGCAGGTGCTTTGGGCACCCAGAAGTGAGGAGGCACTTTACCTCCGCTTCTATCTCTCTACTTCTGATGGTGTTTGGCCTGCATAGAGTTAAAAAGTATTTGAGTGGCTGTGATACTTTAAAAATATTTTTAAAAATTTATTTACTTATTTTTAGAGAGAAGGGAAGGGAGGGAGAAAGAGAGGGAGAGAAAGAATATTGTGTGGTTGCCCCCACATGCCCCACACTGGGGACCACCCGCAACCCAGGCATGTGCCCCAACTGGGAATCGAACCAGCTACCCCCCGGTTCGCAGGCCAGTACTCAATCCACTGAGCCACACAAACCATGGCTAAAAATATTTTTAAGCCAACATTTGAGAATGGGGATATTTTATATAGAGAGAGGAGCAGGATTTCCAGCTTCTCTTGAGAAAAATCAGATCTGGCAACACTGGGCTCATTCCCACATGGCCATAATTGGCTGGAGCTGTGTCAAGGCTGTCCCCTGAGATGGGGGCTGTGGCCTCCAGGTCCCCGCAGTCACCATCAATTTCTCATGTGTCCCTGGCACAGAGGTCAAGGTCTAGCTGCCCCTGGAGCAGCACAGAGCTCATGCTGTGGCTCTACTTATATTAGAGAAATATTTTTTTGTGTTGTCTTGCTCAAACACAGGAAGATGAAAAGTAACAACAAAGGAAATGGCAGCGCCCCGGCTTTTGAGTTTGTGGTCCTAACAAGTAGGACGCCCATTTAGCATCTCCCTGCCCTGGCTACCATGCAGGGGGTCACCGCTTATCCCTTCCCCAGCTGGGCCTGACGGCCATCCACATCCCTCCCCTGGGCCTGAAGCCCCCTCCACCCCAGCAGTGTCAGGGGCCAGGTCTCAATCAGGCCACTGCCCTCTCCTCCCTGGTGGTGGGGCTTTCCCTAGGGCTTCTCTGGGGGAGGGCAGTTGGTCTCCACTTCCTGCTGACATTGACCAAGGCCCTGGGGGGAGGGTGGCCAGCTTGGTGGGAATTCTGTGAAGTTGCAGTCATGCCAGTGACCACTGCCTTACAACAAAAGAAGGGGCAAGGATGCACTCCCTCCCCTAGAGCCAAAATTCACCAACAGGCAGGTCTTTCCACCCAAGATGCCCCCTACCAACCCCTTCCCCACCTCTCCAACTGACCAGAGCAGCAGAGCTGGGCCACAGTGGATATGGCACAAAGGAGTGGGCAGGAGAGGGGGGCACGGAGCATGTTTCAGGTTAAGCTATAGGGAATCTGAGCAAGAGACAAGGGGCAAGGGAATGTGCAACCTTGGGAGAAAGAGACACAGGAGCTGAGGAGGAAGCAGTTCTTGTCATTCTCAGCATACATTTATTGAGTGCTTACGTGTGCCAGGAAGTAAGCAGGTGCTAGAAAAAGCAAAGGGGCAGGAAGAGTCAGGGCCAGCGACCAAGTCGTCAGTGACACCGTACCGACCCTGGTTAACACAGAGAACAGGTGAACCCTTCCGGCACAACTCCGACGGCCTGCTCTGGGTCCTTGGAGGGGGCCTATCTCAGTCTTTCCAGAAACAGGAAGGGATTGAGCAAGGCAAGACCCTCTCCCTCTTCTCTACCTGGGTAGAGAGGCACACAGACTGCTCTAAACAGGCTCATACCAAACATGCTCGGAGTACAACGTACTTCAACACAAGCACTCACGCATGCACACACATGCACACACACGCATGCGCACATGGGCACAGCCAAACCGTTTTACAGGGAGGTGGTCTGGAGGTGCTGCCTACATGCTGTGACCTGCGTCACCCCCACCCCAATGCAAACCTGCCCGATGTCTGGGTCTTTACCACTTAGACATTTCCTGGAGAAGCTTTTTGGCGAAGTCTCTTACCAAAATGTGAAAGATATAAAAGTGAACAAAGGGCTACTTCTTAAGGCTGTTTGCTTAAAGAGAGGTTCTGAGAGGGTCGGCAGAAACAGACCCCACTTCCTTTACTTGGCTACAAGTCTGTTCTGGTCAGAGCTTCCTAAACTAGGGGCCCTATTATACCGGGGCGGGAAGGGAGTGGAGGAGAGGGTGGCCCTCACTTCCTGTGCTACCTGTACTCTTCCAGAGTCACACAAATAATGCTGTCACTTGTTAACCGCCTATGAAGTGCCAAGAATACCACCGTGCAAATGATTTACTTCTGTGTCCACCCATCCTCACAGTGAGGGTATTATCTCCACTTTACAGATAAGGAAACTGAGGCTCAAGACTTGTCTAAGGTCACTGGTATCGTATGTGTGGCAGGGCTGGGAGCTGCCAGGGGCCTCGGTGCAGTCTTGGATCCACCCAGGAGGCTGAAAGTGAGTCACTTCAGACCCGTGGACATGCTGCCTACAGAAATGAAGGTACACAGGTGGTAGCCCCATCTGGCAGGCCACCCCCTGGGAAATGCTATTTCTCCTTCATGAGACTCGGGATGCTCCATCCGCGCTCCAGGGATTGGGGCGAGTTAGGACATGGGAGCAAGTGGGTTCACAGAACCCGCCTGCTCCCCCTGACCCCCAGCTCGGGGGGGGGGCTGCAGCCTGTGAAAAACCAGGTCCTCACTTTGGGGTACCGGGTTCTTTATCCTCATAATCCCACAATCTGTATTGGGGAAAACGGGCTACTACCCTTGAGTCGAGTCCCTGGTGACTGGAACAGATAAGGAGCCTCACTGCCCCAAGTACCCTTGGGAACCCATATTATCCTCCAGAGGGCGCTGTTGCCAAACCAGCCCCTGAAAATCCTGCTGAGCCTTCTCAGAACTCTGACTGAAGCCCCTCACCACAGGATGCCCGCAGCCTGACCCCGCCGCCCATCACCCACCCCAAGTGCTTCTCTGCTCAAATTCTGCTCTCAGGCTGATACATAAGTACATCGAAAACTTCACTGAACTGAGTGTGTTTCTGCTGCTGAGACAGGCCTGCACATTGACCCTGCATACTGGATATCCCTCCATTTTCAGTGTCCTTGGGACCCAGGGCAATTGGGAGGCCCTCCACAGACTGCACAACCCCGGACCAGGACGGGGAGGGCTTAGCAGAGGTTGTTTGGACCAGGCTGACATTGCATCCAAGAGGGGAATGGAGCTGGAGCAAAACAGAAAGGCACCTGCAACCCTGCCTGTGGCCTTTAGGAGGCTTGGAACCTTCCCTAGTACAGGTCCAGGCAGCAGGAGCTGCAGGCAGAGGCCCAGAGGGTCTGGAGGAAGCCAACAGAGGAACTCGTAGACCTGTCTAGGGGGACTAGAGAGGAGAGGGGATCTTCAGTGCTTCTGAGACGGGCCCCTTCCTCACTCTAACTGGAACCACTGGCCAGGCGTCACTTCCTGCCCCTTCCCACCAGCAGCCTGAGGACAAGGGAAGGAGGGCTGTGGCTACTGGGTGCCGCTGCCTTCGACCAGCCCACAGGTCTTTTCTCATGGAAGGGCATTCTTCTCATGGGTTGGGCTGACAGGAGAATTGCTTCCTCAAGAATTCATCTGCCTCCAAGCCAAGATGACTACTGAGGAGAGGTCAAACCATTTTCAGAGGAATCTCTTGGCTCCAAGAAAGTGGTGCCTGGGTTTGCTTCCATTCCCCAAGCTGGGGCCTCCTCCCTCCCAAAGCCTGGAGGCCCCTGGAGCTATGGCTCCAAAAGGAATGTCCTGGCCCCAGGCTTTCTTTGGTGGCTTCAATGATGTTAAGACCCATAATCAAGTCCTGGCTCCAATCTTGAGTGAATTACTCCACCTCCTGGGGCCCTCAGTTCTTCTAACTGTAGACCAGAAATGATGGTATCTTTTTAATTCTTGGACTTATGATTCAATGATAGTAATAGGAAAATATGTAACCCATCAACTCTGCATAATCAGAGCGGAATGACTGGCCCCAGAAGGGGGTGCAGGTGGCAGCCGGCCCATCTGTCCCACTCTCACACCTCAAATTCCCACACACTGTAGGCCCTAGACTGATTTCCACCCCGAACTTGTCAATGCCTGCTTCCTTCCACAAAGTGCCCACACCCTGCAGGTGGGTGGGAGAAAGGCAGCAGCTCCTGCTTCAGGTGCTGCTGGGGACGGCACAGGCCTTGTCTGCAACCTTGATGTTTTCCTGGCTGGAAGGGCCCCTGCTAGCCCACATTTCCCCAAATTATACTTCTGTCAGTGGTCTCAAACTTTGGGGGAAGGAGGGCTAAGCAAAATACAGGTTCCAGATTCCCTCTAGGTCAGAGGCAAGACCTGGAATTCACGTGTTCAACACGCACCAAGTAACTCCATCGGGCCACACACAGAGGGCAGCTCTCTGATAAAGCCACTCCTTCACGGTGTATCTCACTCTCTCTTGGATGGCCACAAAAACCACCAGCATGCTGAGAAGTGCTGCAAAGAAACATGCTTGGCCCTGGCCAACTTGGCTGGTGCATCGTCCCGTAACCAAAGGATTGAGGGTTTGATCCCTGGTCCAGGAGCATGCAACCCCTGGCCCGGGTGCATACAGGAAGCAGCCAACTGATGCTTTTCTCTCACAATGATGTTTCTCTCTCTCTAAAAGTGATAAAAACTGTCCTTGGGTGGTGGAAAAAAAAAAAAGCTTGACTTTAACTCAGCATTTCTCAAATTTAACAACATTCTTTTTAAAAATTAGAATAACCATTAAACCTCACATAACTAGTGTTCGGAGGAAAGGTCTGGGAAATTCTGATCTTGTTTTCTTTCTTACAAATGTTGTAGAAGTATTTGAGATGTTGCTTCCTGGTAATTGTTGGCAGTTTGGCTCAAATAAAATCTTAGAGAAATTCCCAAAATGTTTTAAACAAAATCTCGTTTTTTAATGTTTGAGTGGACTGAAGCCTAGGGAGATTCGACGTGTTCAAGGTGCCCAGCTGTAGACACACAGCTGGTATCTGGGCCCAGACCTGTCCCTTCCTGCTCTGTCTACTGCCCCCGCCACACTCTGCCGCTGCCTCTTTGAGCAGGAGGCTCTTCTGGAACCGCCCCGCGATCTTGAACTCAGGAGGGACCTTCAGGAGAGCTGACCAGTGACAGGAGATCTGACCAGGGGTAAAAGGGGGTCAGGATCAGCCTGTTTGGCTGGGAGGAACAGCAGAGGAGGGGGTGGCCCATACTTGAAAGATGCTGGCACAAACCCAATTTGTTTGGGGGCTCTGGGGGCTCTTTTCCTGGCCCTTCCCCTCCCAAGCTGGCAATCATCCAGAGAGACTGTCAGCAGCTGGGTACGAGAGGGACTGGGGTCAGAAACTCTTGTCTTTTCTTGTTTTATTTTTAATTGAATTTATTGGGGTGCCATTGGTTAATAAAATTATACGGGTTTCAGGTGTATAGTTTTATAATTGTCTTGCCTTTTCTCCTCAAGCTCAAAACAGGCACATGTAGACTGTAGCTGATAGGCTAGCAGGGGCAACTCTTAACAGGAGGGAAATGGACTTATTGCTTTATAAAAAGGAGTCTGATAAAATTTAAAACACCCCCCTACCACACACACAAAACCATAAACCTAAAAATCCACCCAGCCCTCTCCACGCTCCCAGGAAGTCCAAGACCCATTTCTGGGTAAGTCCTGGTGGGTGGATTGGTAAATCAGGCCTGTCTGGCAGAAGGGGATCTGCTCCCATGTAAACAGCGCCAGGGCCCTCGGGGAGTCTGCCAGCAGGGGGCACTGTGACTCCACAGCCTCCAACAAGCTTTGGGACCAGCCAAGCTGGCCCCAGGGCACTCCCCCTACTGCAGGCCGGGCAGTCCTCTGGGCAGCTCTGGGAGAATGAGTGCAGACACCCAGGGCCCACACCCTACCACCTTCCCACACACCTCTCTCACACGTACACACCCACACATGCACACAGCCCTAGGTCCTTCGCATACCTACCTCCCCATCCGGCCTAGACTTCCATGTCTATCAGCCAGTCTCACTTCCACCCCCACAAAAATAGCTGTGTGTGTGTGTGTGTGTGTGTGTGTGTGTGTGTGTGTGTGTGTGTGCACGTGCATATGTGTGTGTATGGGGGTGTGTGCCCTACTGGTGTCCCTTTTGTTTCCTTCAGGTCACAGACTGGATGAAGGGTGGCAGTGGATGCCTGCTCTCCACTTAGGTCCTAAGGGAGGAGGTTAGGGACTGCTGATCGCCTTTGTCCCCAGCTCCTGAACCTAGTATGACCATCCAGCCCCCCATCCCCTCCCCAGGCTGTAAGCCAGGGTCCTTCCTCACAGGCCTCTAAATGAGAGGACAGGCTAGGGACAGGCCATTTGGGGCTGGAATTACAAAGGAGTTAGCACCATCAACAGGAAGCGGGTCCTTCCTTCCTCAGGCAGCCTCAGACTGACCAGGGGAGATGAGGGGCCAGGCGAGTGGGTGCTGACAGTGCAAGCCTTTGTCCTCAGGCAGGTGTGGTTGGTGGGCATGCAGCTGAGGGGTAGGTGGTAGACAGTGAATGGCAGACCCCTCTGCTTTGGCAAGAGGCAGAATCCAGATGCTTGAGGGACAGAGCCTGCCTGCCGGTGATCCTCCTGGCTCCTCTTGCAGGCACCATGGAGCCTCAAGGCTCCAGAGCCCCTCAAAGGTAGCTGGACAAAGCCCAGGGAGGCCCCTGCTTCCAGCAGTAGGAAAAATCACATCCAGGCCCTCTCCTGTCCTTCCACAGCAGAGCTCCATGGCAGGACCAAGGCCCTGGGAGGGGGCATGGACTCCAACACGGTGAAGAAGAGGTTCCTGGGGGTGTGTGGAGGACACTGGTGAGTCACTGAAGCAGGGGCAGGACGCCACAGTTCTGAGGTGGTGGGCACTACACGAAAGCCTCCTGGTTGGATGACCCGTTGAGCTTGAGGAAAAGCTTGTCGTTTTCCCTCTTCTGCTGCAGCTGCCTCTCCAGCTGGCGCCGGTACCAGATGAGGTAGAGGGGAAGGCAGAACCCCAGCATGCTCAGGACAAGCAGCCCCACATTCACCTGGGGTGGCAGGGATGAAAGTTGCCATCACATGGGGCAGGGGACCAGGGCTGTGGTCTTTTGCAGAGTTCAATTCAAGACCCTTCCTCGCACTCAGGTTCAGGCAAGGGGAGGCCACAGGAAGGGAAAGGGAAAACTGAAACCCGAATGTCCAAGAGGCTGGAGGGCCGCATTCCAGCGCCAGATTCCCCAGTCATCTGAAGGCCTCCCAGCAACCCTCAGGGCCTGCCCTCCACCACTGCCCCGAGCCCCCGACCTCAGACCTACTGATCTGAATCTCCACAGTGGAGCAGGGACAGCAACTAGATTCTATTTATCTCAAAATCAGGTCTAGAAAGGAAACTTTTCTGCTCCTGCCCAGCCACCATTCAAAACGGGACCCTGACTTGATTTTAATCAAAGTTCCCAAACTGCTTGTTCTTAGGGCTCTGGAAGCCCCAGAGAAATGCTTCTCAGTTCCCACTCAGCAGAGTGGACAGATGCCTGTCACCCACTGTCCCCTGGCCCTTCTTACCCACAGAGGATCTCCTTGGAGGGGACCCATCATGGCCAGAAACAGGGGCTGCTGCAGGAGAGCGAAGAGGGCACTGACCAAAGACTGTAGTCCTGTGAGGCTGCCAAACTGGGTGGAGGGATACCTGCCAGGGCGACAGAGAACATGTCACCGAAGGTGCCACTCTCAGGCTTTCCAAATGCTCCTAAGCCCCAGCCTGGCCCCAGGTGCGGTGGTGCCAGAGAGGAGGTGGGAGGAGCCTCAGAGAACAGGGGGTGACCACCTTTAGAATGCTTTCTGCTGAGCAGGTGCACAAAGTGAATTTCTCTCCTGGACCAACCTGAGGCCTCAGACTCTGGGGAGGACCCCACCCTGTGCAGGTGTGTCCTGGGCTCGTGGGTGTCTAGCTAAGCCGAGTGGAAAGTGTGGTGCCAGCAGGAATCTGCAGCTTGGGAAACAGGCCCAGGGAGCAGGATGGAGGCTGGGCCTGGTTCTGCCGTGCCCTCATCTAGAGCGGCATTGTGTAATCATGGAAACGCAGTATCAGAGCTTTCAGCAGCCTCCCTCAGACCCTGCCAGGGCAGCCGCAACTTCCTCCAGGCCTGAGTGGGTGGGGGACATGCAGACCTGGAATGACCTCCATGTAGTGCTGTTGAGAGGGGGACAGAGTTCTGGCAAAATCTTATAAAACATCAGGCTTCAGGGCCCCAGAGGAGGGAAGGGTATCCCAGCAGTGAACAATCTGGTATGCGGTCAGAGAGAGACGGGATGGTATTTGGGTTCCAACTTTTTAAAAAATATATATTTTATTGATTAAGCTATTACAGTTGTCCCATTTTCCCTTCACTCCCCTCTGCCCTGTTCACCCGCTTCCACCCACATCCCCCTTTAGTCATGTCCATGTGTCGTAAGTTATTTAGCTTCTACATTTCCCATACTATTCTTACCCTCCCCCTGTCTATTTTCTACCTAGCATCTATGCTACTTATTCTCTGTATCTTTCCCCCTCTCTCCTCCTCCCACTACCCTGTTGCTAACCCTCCATGTGATCTCCATTTCTGTGGGTCTGTTCCTGTTCTAGTTGTTTGCTTAGTTTGCTTTTGTTTTTGTTTTAGGTGTGGTTGTTAATAATTGTGAGTTTGCTGTCATTTTACTGTTCATATTTTTTACCTTTTTTCTTAGATAAAACCCTTTAACATTTCATATAAGGGTGTGGTGATGATGAACCCCTTTAACTTGAGCTTATCTGGGAAGCACTTTATCTGCCCTTCCATTCTAAATGAAAGCTTTGCTGGGTAGAGCAATCTGGGATGTAGGTTCTTGCCTTTCATGACTTGGAATACTTCTTTCCAGCCCCTTCTTGCCTGCAAGGGCTCTTTTGAGAGATCAGCTGACAGTCTGATGGGAACTCCTTTGTAGGTTACTGTCCCCTTATCTCTTGCTGCTTCTAGGATTCTCTCCGTCATTTTTACCTTGGCTAATGTAATTATGATGTGCCTTGGTGTGTTCCTCCTTGGGTCCTTCTTTGGGATTCTGAGCTTCCTGGACTTCCTGGAAGTCTATTCCCTTTGCAAGATTGGGGAAGTTCTCCTTCATTATTTTTTCAAGTAAGTTTTCAACTTCTTGCTCTTCTTCTTCTCCTGCTGGTACCCCTATAATTTGGATGTTGGAATGTTTAAAGATGTCCTGGAGGTTCCTAAGCTTCTCATTTTTTTGAATTCTTGTTTCCTCATTCTTTTCTGGTTGGATGTTTCTTTCTTCCTTCTGGTCCGCACTTTTGATTTGAGTTCCAGTTTCCTTCCCATCACTAATTGGTTCCCTGTACATTTTACTTCATTTCTCTTATCATAGCCTTCATTTTTTCATCTAATTTGCGACCAAATTCAACCAATTCTGTGAACACCCTGATTACCAGTGTTTTGAACTGTGCATCTGATAGGTTGGCTATCTTTTCATCGCTTAGTTGTATTTTTTCTGGTGCTTTGATCTGTTCTTTCATTTGGGTCATTTTTTTTTGGTCTTGACATGCCTGTTACACAGTGAGGGGCAGAGCCACCCACATTGCTGGGTTGTGACGCTATATGTGGGGAGGGGGTCCGAGAGGGAACAGTGCTGCTTGCTCTGCTCTCTGCCAGATTTCAGTCCCTTCCGCTGCTTCTCACAAGTAAACTGGGCCCTTCTGGTGCTGATTCCCAGTGGGTGGGCTTGTGTACGTTCTAGGACCCTGTGGGTCTCTCCAATGAACTCTCCTGTGAGGCTGGGAGTCTCTCCTGGCACCTCAACCCCCACAGATGTTTTCAATCAGAGGTTTGAGGCTTTAGCTCCCCACACTGGGACCCTGAATTGATTCTGTCCGATCCCCAGGTGTTCCTCCTGGTTTACCTCGAATGTGGGAACGCCCACTCCACCAGCTACTGCTGCTAGTCTTGCCAGCTGCAGCCTTGCACGCCCCGTTCCACAATCCAGCACTGGGTCCACCAGCCATCGCCTTACCCTGAGTCCTCTCCATGTGCCCATCTCTGCCCCTCCTACCGTCTCCGCCCCTCCTACCAGTCTGGATGAATGTTTCTTCTTTAACTCCTTGGCTGTCAGACTTCCATACAGTTTGATTTTCTGTCAGTTCTGGTTGTTTTTATTTTTAAATTATTGTTGTCCTCCTTTTGGTTGTGCGAGGAGGCACAGTGTGTCTACCTATGCCTCCATCTTGGCCAAAAGTGCCCAGCTTTTTTTTTAATCCTCACCCAAGAATATACTTATTGATTTTAGAGAGGAGGGGAGAGAGAGAGAAACATCCCATGCCTGTCCCCAGCAGGGCACTGAACCAGCAACCTACGTATGTGTCCCCTGACCAGGAATCTAACCTGCAACCTTTTGGTACATGGAACAATGCTCCAACTAACTGAGACCCACTGCTGGGGCGCGGGTTCCAACTGTTGAGCCAAGCCACAAAGGAGGAAGAACACTGTGATTCTTATGTACATGTGGCCTCTTGGAAAAGGAGGCAGGTTTTATTTTAGGCAAGGCTGAGAAGGCTGTGGGTAGAGGCAGACCCTACAAGATTCTGGGTGAGCCCTTGCTGGTGTGTGGGGAGGTGGTCCGAGAGGGCAGTGGATTGAGTGCCAGCCTGAGAACCAAAGGGTCACCACAGATTCCATCCCCAGTCAGGGCACATGCCTGGGCTGCAGGCCAGGTCCCCAGTAGGAGGCACGCGAGAGACAACCACACACTGATGTTTCTCCCTTTCCCTCCCTGCACCTCTCTAAAAATAAATCAAATAAAATCTTTTTTTTTCTTTTTTAGTGAAATGATTCTGGGTGAGAACTGTCTGATACACTCTGGGCTCAGTTATTCATATGTCCCTGCTCTTGCTCCTGCTGAGGGTCATTTGAATATCAATACTGAGCTGTGGGCAGCCAGAAGGCACCCCTGCCCTTCCCCTGAGCAAGCAGAGGCAGCCCAGGCTTCAGTGGAGCAGCAGCCCCCAAGGCAGTATGAGCTGTACAGGGGCCCTGCCTCTGGCTGAGAGAACTGACTTCGTGTTAAATGCCGGGACTTGTGGGCACCCAACTGCCTGCCCACTGACCCACCTCCCGCCAGGTATGGCCTTCCCAACACACCCAACAGAAGCCCTGACACCTGTCCCTGATGCAAAAACATGACAGGAAGCTGGCCCCCCTCAGGACCTCAGCCCCACCACAGACCTCCCTTAAGTCATCCCCTTGCCCTCTGTCACCAGGCCCCCCACAGCCACCAGGACTTACACTGCGGCGTACAGGCCCCCAATGGCAGAGTGGATGAATCCCCGCACAACTGTGTGCAGGATGAAGGAGAGGATCTGAGGGAGGAGAACAGAGAGTGAGCAGAAGACTGGGAACCCCTACTCCAGTGCCTGGGGTCTGAGCAACGGGAGCACTGCAACCAAGAGTTGGCTCCCGCCAGCTCTGCAGGGCCAATTCCTGAATTTCTAGGAATTTTCCGAGCCAGCTGTTAAACACGGTGATTATGAAAACTTGGATTTTATAAATTTACAATTAAATTATATTAAAAACAATGGTAATAAACAGTGAAAACTTATCACTTACCAATTACTTTACTATGTTTTACTATTCTCTATGTTCTTAAGGTTTTTGTATGGTGGAAATACCCTAAGATGGTTGTGTTACCAGGATTCTCTTTCCAACTCCACAATTGGTGACAGCATAATGACTGAAATCAGCCACAATGAGAGCGGTTACACCATGAAAATTGGCAAATGCTAAAAATCGGCCCCTCTCTCCTGCTATTGCTGACCTGAGGACTGTGCCCCGGGGTCTCCCTGCCTCATCACTCAGGCCCTAACATCCCTAAGAAGGCTCTGCTTCCCTGTCACCTGAGAAGGGCGAGGGGGAGAGAGAGGAGAGAAACAGCGATCAGTTACCTCCCACACATGCCCTGAATGCGGACCAAACCTGCAACCCAGGAATGTGCCCTGACTGGCAACCGAACCTAAGGCCTTTCAGTTTACGGGATGACGCTCCAACTAACTGAGCCACACCAGCCAGGGGTGAAAGCTCTGCTTTTTAGGAAGGCTGCTGCTAGCCCTGGCGGGGTAGCTCAGCTGGTTAGAGTGTCGTCCGGATACGCCAAGGTCGTAGGTTCAATTTCCAGTTAGGGTACATACAAGAAGCAACCAATGAATGTAAAAGTGACTGGAACAACAAAATCGATGCTTCTCTCCATCCCCCTACCCAGCCCTCTCTTTCAAATCAGTAAAAATAAAAGGCAGCTGCTGCTAGCAGGCTTAGGAGGTCTTGAGGAGCACTTGTTAATGACTTGGGAGGCACGAGAATTCTACACTTTGCCACCAGGACCCTTTTGTCGCCCTTCATGCACAGCACTGCTGTCCTATTCAGAGCCAGGACCCGTTCCCAGGAATGTGGGCGGTGGAGGGGACAGGGGCTACTCTCTGCGGTGCTGGAAAAGGGCTGTGCCTGATGTGCAGGGACATACTTGGACAGGCTCCCCCTTTCCACTTCAAATGCCTCATTGCTTTTTCATAACTTTTCTTTCCATGGGAACAAAAAAAAAATTAAAATTCAGCAGATGACTGTTCCCACTAAGCACTGACCCTCCACCGGACAAGGTGGCCAGGCAAGGGTTTGTCAGTCTCACAGAGGGCAATCACCAGGAGGCTGGGAGGACAGCAGGGAGGTCACAACACTCCCACCTGGAACTGGGACAAGTTTCCAATGGTTTATTCCGGTCTGCACGCACAGCGTCGGCACAGTCACGTGCTAGGACACGTGTGGTGCACACCTGAGTATTTAGTGTACCTCAACACATGGCCACTTGTAAAAAGGGACTCTTGCTTTCCCCCTGGACCTGGCCCAAGATACCACCTGACCTTGAGCTCCACCCACCTGGGAGCAATGCCATCACTCAAGTCCCTCAAAATTAATCATCTTGGGGTTTGAGGCTAGTACACATTCATGGGCCTAAGGGTGCAGCCAGACAGGTGACAGAATCTACCTTGCTCACATCTTCTGCCAAGAGTCAGGTTTCAAAAGCATGAGAAATCTGTGGAATAAAATTAAGCTTTGAACCCAGATGCCAAGTGATCACCACTTGGAAAAAGTGGAATCTTTTTCCACTCTCTCGTGTGTAGAGAGACCCTGTAGGCACTCCTGTACCTGAGGGACAGATGCTCCTGTCAACACCAGATTAGCCTGACCTCTTTGGACATCAAATTTCAGCTGTTTGAGCAATGCAAAACAAGTAGCCATACACCTACCAAACATAGTTCTGGAAAATGGTGTAATGGTAGCATCCGTGGTAAGCAAATGCACAGAAGGCCAAAAAGAATATGCCTTTACCAGGAAGAATCTTTTGTGAAAGGCAATCCCAGTGCCATCTACGGCTCCCTTCCGGGATCGAGCACAAAGCCTGGCAGGTAAGAGGCTCTTGGTGAATGACAGGGGCTGGGTAGCTGGTCAGTTGAATTAAATGAATGAAGAGTCACCATTCTCTTCGACGATGGCTTTCATGGCATATCATGCACCTTTTAGTTTCATTGTCCCTTACCCTACCTGACCTCTCTCTTTTCCCACACCCACCTGGAGGGGCAGGTTGGGAATGAGGCAAGTCACCCCAAAGCCCACGAGCAGCACGTTTGTGAAGGCAAAAGCCCGCATGGCGTTGGTGATCTTCTGGATCTGCCGGTCCCGCTTCTTCTTCTCGCCCCTGCAGAAACACAGAGCACACGCTGGAGCTGAGTGCTCCCTGGAGGAGGCGGGCTCTCCCAAGGAGTCAGGCCCTGGGAGTGACAGCTCACCACTCAGAGACCACCCAAGTGTGTTGTAGGGACTGCTGGGACTAGACCAGCACTGGGGCCTCCCACGGCACCCAGCTGACAGCGCTGAGCATGAGCCTCAGTGGAAAGGTCAGATATGAGAAAATGGTCATCAGCACGCTGCGCTGCTTTAGTGAAGACTGAGCTCAAATTATGAGGCAGGAAGGAACAGAGCGTGTCCAAGTTAGGATGTGGCAAAGCCTCACTTCATCATTAGCTCCAACGTCACTGAAGTCCTGCAGAGAGCTGAAGATAAGGCAGATAATAAGCCAAATAAGGGAGTGAGTGGATTTCCCCTTGGGGCGGCAGGAGGGAGTGAGGTAGAAACAAATATTCAGCAGATGGAACTGGAATGGGCACAAATAACCTCTCAGCTGTAGGACCTGACCTAGATAACAAAGCATTCTCTGTAATTATTTCCTTGTGAATTCACTACTACTGATTCTAGTCTCACCACCCACAGATACACCACAGACAACTATATAACATCCAAGAATGAATGCCAAGTGCTGGGAGATGTGCAAGGAATCTCAGGCAAGCTCCTCAAACTCCTAGCTTCAGTTTCTCCATCTGTAAAATGGGTATCACACTGGTACACACCTCACTAAAGTGTTGACAGGCTTACTGAGCTATTGTGCCTTAAGTGCTTGGCACAGGACCTAATAAAATAAACAGTAGCTTATTATACTAAGGTGGAGTCACAGTAGACAACAATTAACCCATCCTCTGATTTTAAAACCCAACCTTTACATAAAGCAGGGCTCCAGCACCTTGTTTAATGCTCACAATCACAAACACATCTATTCACACCTGTTACAGGTAGAGTGCCTTGCTACTCCCACCAAGTGGAGTGAGCCTTGTAGGCAAGGCAGCACTGCTTTAAGATCATTCACCCACTGTGCTTCTCACACTTAAGGATCTGCGTGCGGCCCTGAAATAGAATGGTTTGATAGCCACTGTCTGCACACAGACCTTCCTCCCATTTCTCGCTTCTTTCATGTAACTCAGTACTTCCCAAAATTCAGCGTCCCAGAGAACTGCCATCAAGGACCGAAGGCAGTGGACCCGAAGGTGTGTCGAGCTGAGTGAGCAAGTGTCGTAAAGCCCTTGGGCGATCACCCTCCGACCCAGCCCTCTTTCCCTCTCCTGCTGACTTTAAAACCTATCCCGCTCCCAATCCTGCCCCTGCCTAGCGCTAGACTTGGGGGCTTCTTTCTCTGGGGGCTGAGAGCCAGGCACGGGTCCTGTCTACGCACTGGTTGGTGTCTTTCTCTTCGGGCTCCTCAGAGGCATCTTCGCATTCCTTCAGCCTCCAGTCCATGATGCAGCCGATGATGGGGGCTGTCAGCAGGCAGAGCAGCTGGAGCACACCAAAGATGGAGGTGTAGAGGCTAACTGGGAATGAAGACGGGCTGTGTCATGGCGGGGGCTCCTGACAGAGGCCAGGGGCAGGTACTGGACAAAGTCTAAACCCCACAGGCCCTTCTGGGATCTTTCCAGACCCCCTCTTATCATTGTGGATCTTGAGGGGAGCCCAGAGACCTTAAGCCCTGAATTCAAAGCTGGAACAAGGAGCAGGCACCCTATTCTCTTCTCCAAATCCCCTGCCTGCTTCTAAGAAACAGCTAATGAAATCCAGTATGTCACAACAACTTCCCCCAGAAGCTCCAGGAAGTCTCTCTGACTTGGGAACCACAGAGTTACCAAAGCCTGGGACAGAGGCTTTGTGTATGACTGGCCATTAGTCCTCTGCCTCTAGAAATACACCAGAAAGGCGTCACTCATGGGGGCTCTGACGTAAGTGTTCCTATCTTGAAAGAGCCTTAAAATTAAGATGGAATTTTGGGGGTCAAATGGAAACTGAAAGCTGACTACCCCACCCCATCCACAGTTCTACCTAAAAGGGGTGTTTGCAATTCAAGGCAGGGCGTTTCTTCACTGAACAAAGACTAACTGGGAGGGGATGCTGCAACGTGCCCTGGCAGTACCCCTGCTTACCAGTGGCCATGACTGCGTCAAGAGAGCAATGGGAGAAAGCAGAAAGGAGCAAGGTCAACCGCAGAAATCTCCAAGGTTATCATAGGGTGACAGGGCATGGGGGCAGGCTAGCTACCTCTGGACCCAGTGAAAACCTCATTTCCCACCTAGACCTGAATCTTGAGCACCCATGGGTGGCTGAGCTTGAGTCAGGCTTCTAGGAGCAGAGGTGGGAGGGAGCCCAACACAGGCGCCTGCTGATGTTTCCCTATCTTCTGGGGCCTTAGTCACATGCAGCTGTTCCTGGTCACAGGCAGGCTGGTGAATCAGGCCTGCGGCTCGCCAAGGACCATGATGGGGAAGTAGTGTGGGCGCAGCAGATCTGGCAGAGCTCACTGCCACATGGCCCTTCGGGAAGGGCCATGCTCTGGGACTGCTCTGTCAGAGTTGCACTCCAAGGGCAAGAGAAGTCAAACGACCCATCCTAATTCCCAGCAAAGCACCCGACACCACAGGTCTCCCTGAGGCAATGAGTGCTCCCCCCCAGCCAGCCCCCCCACCAGCACCCTGACCCTGGCGCTGCCCCTCTGGGCACAGGTGTCGTGCACAACAGCTCACAGGAGCAGGATGGGGAAAACAAATGCCCTGTCAGCTACAGATGGAATTTCCTGGCCCAACTTCCGTTACTTCTTGAAACTGACTTTCTGAATGTGGGAAACAGAAAAAAAATATTCCTCTTAGACAGCAAAGGACTTCTCAGAGAGCTTGAATAAAAGCTCACGACTCAGCAGCAGGGAGATTTGCTTGCGAAGGGCCGGAGAGGACCCTTCTCCGCACACTTCAGGGCTTCCCCCTCCCTGGGCCTGGGGGCTCTCCACAGAGGGTGTTTAGATCAGCTTTTCCCAAAGTTCAGTCCACAGACTTGAATAAGTGTTACATAATGAAAGCATTCCTGTGGATGCAACAAAGCTAAATAGATTATTTTTTTCCCATAAAAAAATAGAGCCTTACTACATCAGCATTCATTAGGAAATTTTGCAAGGGCACATTTCACAGTGGAACCAGTGTTTTCTGAGTGCCTTTGTCATCTTTCCCTTTTGTTAAGGCTAGATTTCTCATCCCCTTTAAAAACTGTGTTTGATTCCTTACGGTCCCTAGGGAAAAACAATTAAACCAACACGAAGGTTGCACACCAGTGAGACTGCCAATAAAAAACATTTACCGAACGTGTTTGTCCCGCTAGGGATGACTAACGCTGACTCAGCTCAGGCCCTGAGGAAGTACTGACTTTCTCTGTAGAATCAAAGCCTCTCTTGGCCAAAGACCTTTTGTGTTGTTTTGGGAAAGCAGTGTGTGGGTTATCGGTTCTGTTTACCAGACTGGACGAGTCTCGACTGGATTACACACGTGAGGAAGCTCCCTCGGCCCTGCTTCCAGTTCAGGGAGCAGTTCCCAGTGCCAGTCCAATGGCCTTAGCGTCCCCAGCGGAGACAGCCTGGCCCCCTCAGCACCCAGGCTCCCCACGCAGCAGCCCTGTGGTTTCCTGGGGGCTACTGGCGTCGGGCTTGATCAGCTGTCCTTCGAGGGGCTCTCAGGCGGAGCACTCTGTTCCGAGCAGTGTTTTCACTTACAAACACGTCACCCAGCCCCCCGGGCGATGAAAAACATACCTCACACACCAAAATACATGTAGTTATTTTAAGTGCTCCCTCCCCTCCTATCCCGGGAAACTCTAATGGGGACATGAAGGAGCAGCTGGGGCCGGCTGTGATGCAACAGCTCTGACAAGTAACGGGTCTCCTGGACTCTGTCATTTCACGGCCCTGCTGGCCCAGCCCAGGCTAATAATACTGTTCGGCCAGCTAGGCAGTGGGCTCGACCTCAGGTGGCAGAAATGACCACCACTGGGAGGGGACCACCCTATGGGGCTATGCACCAAGGTCCAGGGGTCACCAACCTTTGCCCTGATCGCCGCTGACCAGGAACTTGAGGATGTTGTTCATGGCGCCCATGTAGAAAATGAGCCGCAGCTGCGTGATGCACATGGTGACGAGGCTGAGCAGCAGGATGGGGCTGAATATGCTCTGCATGAAGGACGGGGCTGCTGCGGGGAGAAGGCCACAGGTGTTCAGGAGCCGCATCTCTGCCATTCAGGGGCCCGGCGCGTGGGGAGAGGCGGCTGACTTGCTGACTTAATCACTCCATGATGGATGCAACGATGGGCCCCGTGTGAGGTGAAAGGTGTGGGGGCTAGAGGTGGGGTCACCCAGCTGTGTAACACAAGTTGGGTGAATCCCTTGCCCTCTCTGAGCCTTAATGTGCTTATCTGCTGTACACAGGATGGACGGTGCTGCGTGCCCTTTTGGGAGGAAGTGGGAGCCGAGGTAAGACTCACAAAGTCCTCGGCCTGGGCCAGGGCTTCCAGGGCTGGATTGGCTGGCCCTCCCTGTCTTGGGGGTACAGGTGGGTGCGGGTGCGTGTGTGAGGCAGGTTTGGCAGGTGAGGACCTCGTGGTAGGTACCTGCAGCGTCTGGCTGGCACTTCACCTCCAGGTCGACGGTGGACAGGCACAGCTTGTGGCCCTCCTGCAGGGCCGTCTGCTCCTTGGCACTCCTCATGGAGCTACCCACACTGAGGCGGCGCCCCACCGTAGTCACCTGCTTGTAGAACTGCTTCCCTGTGATCTTGTGGTCAAAGCCCAGCCAACTGAACTTGATCTTCACCCTGGAGGCCACAGGAAAGTGCCTGTCAGTGCTTCCCGGGACCATAAACTGGGGTGGGGTGGGGACAGATGGCACAACCACTTACGAGTAGTCCATGTCCTCTGGCCCTGGGAAAGGCTCCAGAGGCCAGTTGAAGAAGCAGTTGAGGAAAACTAGCCCAGAGCAGCCAGCCCAGACCACGAGGATGGTGATGAAGGTGACACCAAAGTCATAGATGACCTGAAACACACCACGGGGTAGGGGTAGGGTCAGGGCCGGGGCGGAGTCAGCACGGGGAAGCCAGGCTGGGGAGCGGCAGGGTCACTGGCAGCCCTGTCCTGTGCTGAGCTGCGTGAGGAGGCACAGCCCTGTCAACTTCGGGGTCTGGTCATCACTCTGCATCCCGATATCCCAACTCACCCTGTCCTGTCATTAGCCCCCGTGTGCCTCCTCTTGCGCCAGCTGTCACTTCCTTGGAGGGACCTTCCCTGACCACACCATCACTGTCATTTCACTGGCTTACAGTGAATAGCTACACATATTGACATCTTGGTTCATTCACTCTTCCACTGTTAGTTTAGCTCCCTGAGAACAGCAACCTGCTAGCCTTGTCCACTGATGTTTCTCCAGCACCTTGAAGAGTACCCATAATAGGTGCAAAAAATACGTGATGAATGAACAGGTGGCTGTCTCTCTTTCCTCCTCCATGAAATGGGTATAAGAGTAACGTGTCCTTATGGTATGGTGGCGGGGTTAGGCAGGTGTAGCCCTAGTAGAGTGCTCAGTGGTGGAAGGGGGGCGGGAGCCTGCTGAGCACAAGCATGGTAGCTGTTACTGTCATTATTACAATTTATTTCCGGTGCAAGAGTCCCCAGGGCACTGGCAAAAGCTGCCCAGCTCCCCAGGGGAGGGACCCAAAGCAGCCAGACACTAAGATAGGAGGAGGTGGCACATACAGGTGTCTCTACATGCCAGGAGTGTGACAATCCCTGTAAGTCCACAAGATGCCTGGCCCTAGACCCCTAGACACTACAGTACCTTGATTCCCAGGTGACCAGCCCATACCTGTGACTCTTCCTTCTCACCTATGGCCTTGCCACCAGACACCTCAGGAAAGGGGATTTTACTTGGTGCGGGTGCTAGGGGAGAGAGGAGCCCCTTCTGAAGCCCTGGTAGGAGCAATGGGATTTGGAGTAGGAACTGGGGCTGATGGACTGTGAGGTGTTTGCTTCAGCCTGACCCTGTGTGACTTCCACAGGCTCAGAATCCTGCCTGGGAGGGAAACAGCTGAACCAACTTGGCCGAGAGCAGCGCTTGGGCTAGTGGCAAGCAACAGCCTGACAACAACAGACCTGGGGGTGGGGAGACTGGGGCTGGACTCAGGCTCGAGGACAAACTCACCCACCAGCTTTCTCTACCCTGCTCAGAAACGCAGAAGTGGCCTGCAGTGACACCCTGTAGTGACACACTTGAACTTTCCATCCCCCATGGCTCAGTGGGATTCCCTTCTTCCCCCCATGGTGCCCAGGTGCATCCTGCCTGTGGGTGGTGGGCGGGGCCAGCCCCAGCACCCAGTGACAGCCCTCTTCCGAGAGGGCCGAAGAAGCCTCCAGAGAAGCCTCTGCTCAGACACTAGTACAAAATAAATGTGCTGGCCACACCTCACCTTGATTCCTGGGAAGGTGACTGCTGAGGAGGCATAGGACCCAATCATCAAGGCAATAAACGTGGACCGAAGGTCACCAAACATGTTGGGCAGCTGTAAGACAAGAAGCAAGAGACTTCAGCTGAGAGAAGGGACAGAGGATGGACAGAGGAGGCACTTTTTCTTATCTGCTCTCCTCCCCTAACTTACAGGGGAATTAGTCCAGAGGGTAATCACTACTGATTGAAAGTTTTTCCTTCAGGAACTGAGGCTGATTAAGGGCAGGGGAGGAGTGCAATGCAGAATTCGGACCGCAGACGTTAAGGACAGAGCTGCGGGACCTCCTGGCTAGCAGGTGCCCCTCCTCTCCACTCCAGCACAGGCTGGGGGCCTTCCAGTCTTGACAGGATTACACCGAGACGCCAGCAAGCAAAGTGGGAGACTCAGGCAGCCCTCAAAGAGAGCAAGCCAGGTAAATATAAGAATCTATTTGGGGACTTTTATAAATAAGAATATCAGCATCTCAGAAGGGCAAGATGTCAGCAAAAGCTGCTCTCAGTCCTGAGAGTAGATTTCTGGAGGGTGTCAAAGCAGAACTCTACAGCTCCCTCAGGGCTGGCAACGGATTTCTGCTTCTGAATTCCTAAGTACAAAGAGGGCTTTTTCTTCCACAGTTTCGCCCGAGCTCACCACCTGAGAATGCCAATGGCAAAGGAGGCACAGGCTCTCCTCCCAGCGAGGCCACTCCTTTGCATCTCACAGAAACTCATTCTGGGCCCATGCGACATAAATGCATCCCACACAAACCCAGATGTGGTAAACTGAGATGAAGCGGTCATGGATTCAAACAGTCATAAGGCCAAGTCCATCCCCCAGAGGCCAGTCAGAGCTTCTCTCTAGAACCTCAGGAGAAGCTGCAGCCATGCTGCGAAGGTTTCCGCCCATACCACAACGTCCCACACTGAGGATGCCTCCCTGGATGGCTACACCGCCTGTTCTGCTGAATTCAGACTGTTTATATGGACTTAATCTATGTTTCCCGCTCCCGTTTGTCTGCGATCACTTCAGGTGTTAGCAAACTCGGGACAGGCAATGGCTGCCTGCAGGCTAACCCACTGTTGCTGAACAGAGGCCGTTTGAACTTGGCCACACACCTGCTCCTCATCAGTTCTGCCTATTTCCCCCACAATTAAATATGAGTAAGGCATATATCAAATCATCATGCGGTGCAATGTTTTACTAAAACAATGTGTTATGTTATTATATCTCAATGAAACTGGGAAAAAATGAGGGACATCATCCAAATTTAAAACTTTTGTGCTTCCTATCTATGATGGTCCTATCCTGAACCTAAATTTTCTGGTGAAAAAAGTTAATGTGAGTCTGACTTCTGAGACTGACCATTATAAGGACAATAACATTTTCAAAAATAAATTTTAAATAAGATCTAGTGTTGCTAAAGAATAATAAATAAAATAAAAAACTTTTGTGCATTACATGACGCCATCAAGAAGGCGAGAAGGCAATGCACAAGGAAGTTTTACAAACCACACATCTGTGGAGGGAGTTGTATCTGGAATATGTAAAGAACCCCCATGACTCAATAATAAAAAGATAAATAGCCTATTTTTAAAAAGGGCAAAAGATCTGAATAGACATTTCTCCAAAAAACAAAAGAACAATAAGCTCATGAAAATATATTCAATATCACTAATCCTAGGGAAATGCAAATTCTAACTACAATGAGATACTAAGGTTCATACCCTCTAGGGTGGCTATAATTTTTTAAAAATCATGTAATAACAAACATTCTGAAGACATAAAGGATCACAATACTGGTGGGAATGTGGAATGGTATAGCCACTTTGGAAAATGGTCTGGCGGTTCCTCAAACAGTTAAACCCAGAGGTATCATATGGACGGTCACTCCACTCCTAGGTGTACATCCAAGAGAAACGAAAACACTGTCCACACAAAAACTCTCACATGAATGTTTACAGCAGTGCTACTCATAATATCCCCGAAGTGGAAACAACCTTGATGTCCGTCAGCAGATGCACCAGTGAACGAAATGTGGTATATACACAACAGGGTATTATCCAGCCATAAAAGCAAACGAAGTACTGACGCCCAGTGCAACATGGATGAACCTTGAAAACACGCGATGTGGAAGCAGCCAGTCCCAAAAGCCAAATATGGCATGATTCCATTTACATGAAGTGTCCAGCACAGGCAAATCCAGAGAGAGAGAACAGATGAGCAACTGCTGCAGGCTGTGGGCGGGGGCGGGAAGCTGGGAGAAAATGGGGAAGGGATGCTAATGGGTACAAGGTTTCAATTTGGGACGATATAATTGATTATGGTGATGACTGCACACCACTATGATTACAATAAAAACCAGCGGATTGTATCCTTTAGGTGAATCACATGGCATGTGAATCATGTCTCAGTATCACTGTTAAAAACAGCTTGCCAGCCAGCCCTTTTCCTTTTTCCTTAAGCTCAGGCTTGCCCTAACCCCAACCCAGGCAGAGGCCACTGAACAACAGGGGGTTGGGGCCAACATGCAACTCTGACCTAATCTTCTTGAATCTTCTCTCTAGAACTAGAACCTAGAATTTAAAAGGAACAAAAATAAGTCCATAATATATAAGGCCAAGGTGGCCATCCAGGCTCCTCAAAGATTTCCCAGCACACAAAGAGCTCTTCCCCTCACCAAGAATGGATCCTCTGTCCACTTAGGCTTCTCAGAGAGGGTCAGAGGAAGTCAAGGAGCAGATGGAAATTCCCGCAACAAGAGATGGGGAAAATGTGCGGTGCTCGTGTGTGCAGAGGCACACACCCAGGTGAGCACTAAAGACACCCACTCTTACTCTCTGCACACCTGCCTCCCAGGTATGCTGTGATTCACAGGACATGCCTCAGTTCCCAAGCTCACATATTTGGGCTTCTCCATGCTGGCTACTCCAGCAGAGGCAGCCTTGTGGGGGGCAAGGCAACTCTGGGGCCAAATCAGCCTAGGGCAGAACCCAAAGACGGTTCTGCTTGTGTGGAAGCGGGTAACTGTTCCCGTCTGGAATGCCGCTTCAGCCAGGGCAGGTAAAGGAAGAGAGGATCAAAGAGGACTCAGAGCCCAGCTGGAAGAGCAGATGGAGGACAAGAGCCCGGTGCAGCAAAGGCCACCTGGTGCAGAGTCAAGCCAGGGAAACACTTTTGCTGTTGCAGTCGCCCTTGAGCAGAGTGCCTCGGACTTTTCAACAGAGCTAGGGAATATTCCAGAGAGGGAGACAGCTTGCTACCAGCCCTGTCCCTTTTTCCTTAACCTCAAGCTTGCCCTAACCCTAACCCAGGCTTGAGCCCAATAGAACACCGGGGGTTTGCGGTCGACATGCACCTCTGATCTGATCTTCTGGAGCCGTCTCCCTAGAGCTTGATTCAGGACAGGGAAGCTGGGAGAAGAGCTGACTCTCCACCTGCCCCTGGATGAGAACCCCGCCCCCATGTCTGGACAAAGGCAGTACCCTTCCAGCTGCCTTCCTTGCTGCTCTGCCTATCCCGGCCTAGAACGTTATCAGCAACACCAAGAAAATTCTCCTCCCCAGCACATTATTTTGGTCAGCAGGGCCATCCCTAGGGGAGCACACAGCCTCAGGGCAAACCCACCACACAGCATCCCCACCAAGACCAACACCTGCATTTTAGGTTATGGTTCTTTTCCCTGATTAGAAAAGCAGTGTGCCATCCACTGTAAAACATTTGAAATAAAGTATACATAATGAATAAAATAAAAACCACCCTGATATAGCCATGTCATCACTTCAATACATTTCCCTTTAATCTTTTTCCTATAAATATATGTAACTTTATAACAAAATTGGGATCATAAGCTACAACGGGGTTTTTTGGTAAGTTTTGTATCTTTTAAAAGGTTTTACTTATTTGTTTGTTTACTTATTTACTTGCTTACTTATTTTAGAAAGAGGGGAAGAGAGAAACATCCATTGATTGGTTTCCTCTCATACACACCCCATCCAGAAGTGGAACCCGCTGCCCAGGCATGTGCCCTGACCAGGAATCGAACCAGTGACCTTCTGCTTTACAGGATGAAGCCCAACCAGCTGAGCCATACCAGTCAGGGTGCTGTATATGGTTTTACAAGCTTTTTCTTTTTTACTTAATATATTACAAATATTTTCTAACTCAGAGTTCACCTTCAACATAACTTTGTAATGACTATCTGGTATTTCTTTATCTGGATATTCCACAATCTATGCATTTCTCTGATGTTGGATCTTTGTTCCTTTTTCATTTTTATCATAAACAACATTTCAATGAACATACCTGAAGATAAACACACAAGGTCTGGCACAAATAGCACCTCTGTTTACTTACAAAATCATAAGCACGTAATTCTGTAACACAACAACATCACACTCTATCACACCATATGACATTTTAAGTGAAATGTTCAAATTAAAACTATAAATTACTACATCCATATTACTACCCTACCAACCACACGCAAACAGGCATTACTTCTGCCGGACGCTGCAGGTGCACAGAGCTATTATTTCCTTAAGGTAAGTCCCAGAAGTAGAACCATTAGACAAAGGGAACACACATCTTTCAGTTCTGTCATACTCTGTGCCAAACTGCTTCTAGAAAACTTACACCAGTCCACAGTCCCCCCAGCAGCATAGCAGAGCGCATTGGTCACTGTAGCTATTCTGACATTGTGTATTATCATTATTTTTAATATTTGCCACTTCACCAACATCCTGGTGTTAAAAAATCTATTTCTTTGTGTATATAAATGGAATGAATTAGTGACTGATATTTGCTTCCAAATAATCTGGATGATGGGTAGAGGCAGAAGAGAAGCAAAAGTGGTCAGGAGTTGATAATTGCGAGGCTGCAAGATGGAAGTGTGTGCGTCATTGCACTCTGCTCTCCAATGACATGTACATTCAAACTTTCCACCCTGGCTGGTGTGGCTCAGTGGATTGGGTGTCAGGCTGAGAACCAAAGGGTCTCAGGTTCAATTCCCAGTCAGGGCACATTGCCTGGGTTGTGGGCCAGGTCCCCCGGAGGGGGCACTCAAATGGCAACCACAC